CTAGTGTCTCATTTTAAATTCCATTTTGTTTTCTCTTTCAAGTTACACTCCGCCAAATGACCACAGAGTGTTACCCAAGTAAACCCAATTGCTACCCAGGCAATACAAAGTATTTATAGTTGGATGGAGGATCTTGAGTAAGACAGAGGGTCATTGAGGCTGTTTCCAATCAGAGCATTTCCAAATTTAGTGCAAGAATTGAGACATCAACAACAGATGGTCTTAAAGGAATTTGAAAAATTAAATAGATATCTTCCTGTGGGATAGTTGTAAAGCCAAAAGATGCAGAAAAAGCTTTCATTTTAACCTTTATAACCAGACAATTTTTATCATGTTAGTGGGAGAATTGAGTTCTCAACAACAGATGGTCATACAGAACTTTGGAAAATCATTTGGAGGTCTTCCCGCGGGAAAGTTGTTACACAAAATGGCTCAAAAATTGTTTGGATTCTTCTCTTTTGGAAAAGGTCATTTTTATAACTTTAGTGTGGAAACTGAGTCTTTGAAAAAAGAATCAAAAGATGATTAGAATAAACTTTGAGACATTATTTGGAGGTGTTCCCGTGGGAAAGTTGTGGGGCCAAATAGTTTAAAAAAATGTTTGAATTTTTCCCTTTTTGATGAGCTAATTTTTATAATTTTAGGGTGAGAATTGCTAATTATCCCTTCGGACCACAGTTGACTTAAGACCACCCAAATTTTCACTCTTGCTATACTATAAGGAGGGGCACCAAGCCCCCCCATATAAATGAAATGTTGTATGATAAATTCAACGAAAGGCAACATAATCAGACCATATTAAAGTATGGTTGGACCCATATTATATTAAGATATGTGGTCCTTTGATTGAACATAAGACCTTTTGAGCTCTTAAATGTTTTGGGCTCATTTGAGGTATTGAAGCAGAATAAGCATGATGGTGTTGGTTATACTCAATACTCAGACCATATTGGTATTGTTGGACCCATATCATACTAAGATATGTAGTCCTTTGATAGAATATAAGAACTGGCTAGGGTTAGCCCCTTGGACCATGGTTGACCTCATGCCAGCCAATTTTTCACTTTTGCTATACTATGAGGGGAGGCACCAAGGCCCCCCCCCATATAAATGAAATGTTGAATGATGAATTCAATGAAAGGCAACACAATCAGACCATATTAAAGTATGGTTGGACCCATGTTATATTATGATATGTGGTCCTTTTGAAGCAAAATAAGCATTGGCTAATGATGGTGTTGGTTATACACATTCTGAGATTTTTGATCAAACATCCTATGAAAAGTAAGCCTCCTAAGAATAAAAAAGTAGTCTTTTTCCACCTCAGCTGTTAGTTGGGAGATTATTCTCTCAATATGTGCTTGATGTTGCCAAGTTGACTAGACATCAGCTCTTGAACTACTGCCCTTGGGCAGCCTGGAATGAGGTTGGTCTGAGAACTTGTCTAAGCTCTTGAAATATGTTTGACTTTCCAGGCACTTGCTGTTTGCAATTGAAATCTTGGTATCCCCTTAACATCTGTCTGGTTCTGGTTTTGAGATTGCAATACATAAGACCAAAAAATATATATTAATTAAGCTGGTTCAAAGTTGAATCCTCTAAAATACAAATGTCACAACTTACTGTATGCTTTAATGGGTGGCTCATGCCACACAATTGCAGTGGACAAAAGTTTCCACTTATCTTCAATTGAGCTATCCCCTGAAACTCAACAGCAGCAATGTAAGTAAAAAGGACAAACATGATATATAAATAAGAAAAAAGAGAATTGATAATTTTACTCACTGTCATCAGTCAAAAATGTAACCCTTTCATTTTCCTCTGATTTCCAGGCAAACTTGAATAGACTGATTTGGGAAATGACTGCCTATGGTGGATCACTGAATCTGAGAAGAATCCAGATGGGACTTTCTGAATTTGATTCCTTGGCCTTTTTCATTTGAGTGGGGAGGTTAAGGAGTTTGAGTTGAAAAAATTTATCGACGATTTTGGGGATGTCAAGTTGAAAAAGATTATCGATCATTTTGGGGATGTCAAAGGAAGAGGGGAGATAAGAGATTTCAAAGGCAAGTCAATCATTCTCAGGTGAGTGGTTTTGCTGCTGGGGATGAGTCTCCTCTGGTTTGGTCAGAGGACTCAGGTGATCCAGTGGCATATTACAAATTTTATTGCTCAGACATTGACGGGTACTTCTCAAGATTTCAGAAAACAACTCAAGGTGAATTGCAATGAGGCGCGCCAACAACTTCTAGAGAAGATGCTCCTGATGATATTGTGCAAGGCAGCAGTACTAGGCAGACTTACACAAGTGAACCAGTGGATTGCAAACCAAGCCCAATAACTTCTAGAGAAGATGCTCCTGATGACATTGTGCAAGGCAGCAGTACTAGGCAGACTTACACAAGTGAACCAGTGGGTTGCAAACCAAGCCCTCAAATCTTCTCTGACTCAGATTCAGACTAGTGAGAGTGACGACAGCGACCATCCATTTCGAAAGGTACCAAAGACGCTGGTGGTAATTCAGCATGACAACAAGGAAGAGAAACCTCAAATTGTTTCCTCCAAAGAGACCAGCCCAGAAGCCTTGATTGATGCACAATCCGAATTACCCAAAGATGATGATAACGGGACCCCAGCTGAGACCAGACCACTTTTGTCACCACCAATCAAGCCTGAATCTGAACCAGAAACTGAGCACACCACCATCTCAATGGAACAAAACTGATTTCAAGGCAAACTTGAATAGACTGATGTGGGAAATGACTGCCTATGGTGGATCACTGAATCTGAGAAGAATCCAGATGGGACTTTCTGAATTTGATTCCTTGGCCTTTTTCATTTGAGTGGGGAGGTTAAGGAGTTTGAGTTGAAAAAGATTATCAATCATTTTTCAGAGGCTTTCAATGGATTGATGAATCTGACCATAAAGATAAACCTTTGAATGACAGCAATTAGTAGACTGTGTACTGACAAGCCAAGACTGTGTAGGCTGGAT